CAAGGTAGGAGGATTGAGATCTGAGGCTGGTTTAAAGCCTGAACTGAAGCAAAATAATAAACTAAAACAAATATGGTATGTCTCCAGTGGCAGACCACTTCCCTAGCCAGACTCAAAGAGAAAACTGGGTTTGTTCTTGTCTCCATTAGTAAAAAATCTTTCTAGAGGAGCACACTTGGCTGTGTGTGTGTGTGTGTGTGTGTGTGTGTGTGCTGTACTGATCCTGGAGCTTGAACTTAGGGCCTGGGTGCTGTTCCTGAGCTTCTTTTGCTCAAGGCTAGTACTCTACTGCTTAAGCCACAGCTCTATGTCCAGCTTTTCTTTTTCTGTAAGTCGTGGGTCCTGAAGTCTGGGCCTGGGCGCTGTCCCTTAGCTCTTCAGCTCAAGTCTAGTGCTCTACCACTTGAGCAACAGTACCACTTCTGGCCTTTTCTGCTTATGTGGTGCTGAGGAATTGAACCCAGGGCCTCATGCATGTAAGGCAAACACTCTATCACTGAGCCACCTTCCCATCCCCCCATCCTTTTTTTTGAGTAGTTTATTAGGATAAGAGTCTCATGGGCTTTCCTGCCCAAGTTAGCTCTGAACTGCAATCCTCAGGTCTCAGCCTTCTGAGTAGCTAGGTTTATAGGCTTCAGCCACTAGCTCCAGCTCTTTTTAAGTTGTTTATCAGTTGAATCTCTTGATTTTTGCTTGGGCTGAGCTCCAACTTCAGTCCTCCTATTTAAGTCTCTCCTGTAACTGTGATGACATGGGTTGGGAATGTGGCTTAGTAGTAGAGTGCTTGCCTAGCATGCATGAAGCCCTGGGTTTGATTCCTCAGTACCACATACACAAAAAAAGCCAAAAGTGGAGCTGTAGCTCAAGAAGTAGAGTTAGCTAGCCTTGAGCACAAAGAGGCTCAGGGACAGTTCCCAGGCCCTGAGTTCAAGCCCCAGGACTGGCAAAACAAACAACAACAAAACAAACTGTGATGACAGACAGGTTTTTGTTTGAAATAAGGTCTTGCTAAATTTTTGCCTGACTGGCAAAAAAATCCAACCTTGATCCTCCTGAATAAGTACAATGACAGGTGTGTGCCATCTTACTCAGTTTATGCTTATTTCTTGAGAAAGAGCGCAGTTTTGGGCAGAGCAGGTGCTGGTCTCCCTAGAGGAAACAGAGGGGCTACTCTGGGAGGAAGCGGAGGAAGGATATCCAGGTGGAGGTCTGGCAGGTGCACTGGACGGCACCTGCATTGATTGGGACAGGATCCACTCCCCATGGACGGGTCCCAAGCAGGAGTGATACAGGGTACTGTTTGATCCCATCTGGTTCCTGACTTCACCTGAATTGACATGTTCTCCAGCATAGAAAACTACTCACGCTGAATAACTTTCAATCCAGCCACCTCTGCTGAGCGAGGAGAGTAGGTATGTCTAGCACCAAGGTGGACGGGGTGGACAGTGAGGATGGTCCGTCAGGTCAGCCGTGGGACCCCTTGGGGTCCCCAGGGCCAGCAAGCCCCTTCCCCACCCTTCTCCCGCGGTATCGGATCCAGACTTCAGCCTGGGTGCAAGAGTGCAAAGGGGGTGGGGGGCAAGCATGGGCGGGTAGGAGGAGGGCAGGGGGCGAGGCTATGCTGATGAAGGCTTGTGCAGTGGGCGGGGCCATATAGAAAAGAGACTTGAGCTTTGGGCGGAGTTACGATGATGCGATGATTGGGTAGTGGGCGGGATATGCTAATAAGATGCCCGGGCTGTGGGGGTTACGCTGCTGGGATGCCTGTGGAGTGGGCGTGGCCGAGCCGCGGAGGGCGGCGAG